GGGATGTGTGATTATGAGGGGAGAGTATATAGAACAATTAAAAGTTGGTAGATTTTATTTAGAATTATTTTACTAATTAAAATAATGCTCTAGTTTTATCATTCAAATAAAATAATGAGATAAATGAAAAATAGGAATTTGTAGAGATATTCAGGACAAGGTGGGAATTAAGGAAAAAAGGCGAGGGTAAGGTAGGAATATTCTAATGAGAAAATTATGTTTTTATTTTAAAAGAGAGTTAAGAGGAAAGAGTTTTATCAGCACGTACAAAAAAAACGAAAAGATGCAAGAAGAGAGAAAAAAACTAGGGTAAAGAGAAGTATAAGAGGAGAGCTAGAGCTTGGGAGAGGAGACCATAAAGATTGCTTTCTTTTGTTGGGATCACAAGGTAAGGGGGGGAATAACCTTAATAAGGGGTATATACATGAGGGGTAGGGTAGAGGAGTCCTTAGCCTCCAATAGGATTTGGTTATCCATTGATTCTTGATGAATATATGATGATGAATTTGTTGTTATATGCATTGATTTGAATTGCAATGGTATGTTGTTGTTATAAGGTTGTGTTCTTAAATGTTGATGCAAAATTGAGATGTTTAAAGTATGAACAACTTTGGTTCTTTTATAGTTAAATCAGGGTAATAACATGTCATATTAATAGTAATTCACATTCTATTGTGTGGTATTCATGTGTTATAAGTTTCTAGATGTTTGAGGATGTTTGAGATTGAATTTGGGAAGGTTTGAAGGTTATGTAGTGCAAAATCGCGTTTCTGGGTTCTGTTAGCTTTGTTGGGCAAGCTCTAAGCAAACTCGTCTCTCTAGGTTTCCACCAGGCGAGAATATGGTGTTTCGCTACTAACTTGTCTCGCCCCTAGCTCGTCGGACGAGCATGATAGCACAAAGTTGATGTTTGCGACTCAAATTGTTGTAACTTGAGTTTCGGGACTCGGATTGAGACGCAGTTTGAAGCGTTGGAAAGCTAATGCACTTTACCATCAAATGAAATTAGTTTCAGTGGCTAATTGTGTCATGATAACATGAATAATTGATGAGATTTTATGCATAATTATTGATGTTATCTTGCGATGATGTTATGATGCTGAGAATGTTTATTACAATTGGTTAGCAATGTAAATGTTGAATATTGATGATGTTTTAAGGTGTGATAAGTATGTGATGTTGTGTGAGTGAGATAGTTGATGATGTTAATAATTATTATGATGTTGTTGTGTATGATGTTGATGATGATTATGATGTTGTTGTGTATAATGTTGATGATGATTATGATGTTATTGTGTATGATGTTGATGATGATTTTGATGTTGTTGTGTTATGATGTTGAGAATAATTTTGATGTTGCTGATGTGATCGGTGAATAATAGCTCGATTAGGGAGGACTATTATTGTTGGGTCAATGCATGCTTTGTTTATTGTTGGAATGGGACTTTAAATATTATGTTGTTGTTGCGTTGACATGTTTTTACATGCATCCATGATATCATTATTGCTGATGAAAGAGACAAGTTAGAACCCGAGCAGGGTGGATTAGTGACTTGTCCCGAATCTGAGCAGGGTGGATTCGTGGTTCGATTAAGGCGAACTCAGTTCCCTAAGGAAAATTTTGATGATACGGTACAACATGCATATGTATCGAGTTGCATCGTCGAGTTGTATTACATAGCTGAGTTGTATGCATAATGTTGACTTGTGTGTGATTGTTAAAATTTGGCGTGCAAATATGTTTGTGAGATGTTGTAATGCAATTGTTGTAGAATATGTATATGTGTTGATACTCTATCTTGCAGTATATATCACTTACTTTATTAATGTGATTTCTCACCCTTTTTGCATGAATGTTACCTTTACATGGGTAGCATACAGATACTTAAAAGTAGGTCTCACTGAAGTAAGTGGAAGCTAACTCATTGGAGTTACTTCGTTTATCACTTTGTGTATCTTGCTCTAATTATGTAATATAGGGTTAATGTTGATATTATTTATTTCTATGGATGTTTTGTTGAAGCCTTATGGTGAAATTGTTTTGTTAAACATTCCTATGTTATTGAGTTTACTGATTCGATTTTTTTTTTATAGATGTTATTAAAATTCAAGTTTAAGACTAAATGTTGTATGCTACTTAACCTTTATGATTTGTTGATAATAATTTCGCTGCAATGATACCCTAAGTGAATATGAACATCTGATGACAGGTTTTATATGAATTAATGTAACCTGTGTTATAGAGCAGGATACATTTGATGTGTGTGACACCCTATGTGGTTATACTTTTATTAAATTATACGATAATCTTCATGTGGGGGGGTTTTAGGGTGTTACAATCGTGATATGTTCCAAAGGATCAGTACTAATTCCATCAAATGTTACCAAAGAAGAAGACTTGAAGTTACATGGAATAAGGGCATCACATATTTCGAAAAAGAGGAGTGAAGGTCCAACTCCTCTATGTCTTCTTGTGCATCCTCTTTCTGATGTTCTTATTGTTGTTGTTGTTGTTGGATGTTTAAGAAGTTAGTTTGAAGGGTTTCATTTTGATGATGCATCTCGTCCATGGCTGCTTTCATCCTTGTTAGGACGTTATCATCGCTAAAACTGGGCATATGTTTCATGCCCACCATTATGGAATAATGGTTGAGGAAAATAAAGACTTCTTGAAGAAATTTGATGCGACCTGTGTTATTTTTACTATACTCTGTCGTGGGCATCAAAAGTACTTGAAAAAAGTACAATGTACGTGATTTTTCCTATGTAAGACAAGTAAAGACTTAATTTCGATAATATGTGAAAAAATGGGATCATTTGCTTTGAACCCTGACTTATGTATTTATAGCCATTATGGCTTGCTTTGTGATAGAATTAGAGTTTGGTCTAACTCAACCCTACAAGACCGGTTGGTAAGGTGAGGTGTGTTACTCTATATAGATCCTTTGTAGATGGTATCTTTAACCAACGTGGGACTTGGGTTTTTCCCGATACACCCCCTCACGCCCAGCACTATTGGGCTTGGTGGGTGGCCCGAATTATCGATATGTGATATTTAGTTTTTCAAATACACCCCCTTGCGCCCCTTGGTGCACATATATAAATGGTGGGTGGCTCAAATCGATAGGCTCTGATACCATGATAAAAATAGAGTTTGGTCAAACTCAATCTTATAAAATTGGTTGGTAAGGTGAGGGGTGTCACTTTATATAAATCATTTGTAGATTGTATCTTTAACTAATGCGGGACTTGAGTTTTTCTTAATACTCTAACTCTTTAACTTTTATTACGTAGTTACTTCCCTTAAATATCATGTATCTTTATGTTTGAGATTTGAGTGAAACACTTTCACGACCCCTTACTCCAATATTTGTTAGGAGTCTTACATAATCATGGACATTACCCTTATAATGTGATTTTTCAATTTTGTTAGCTTAAAAACTTACTTTTAGATCTTCAATATCTTGTCACGATACTTAGAGATATTCATTTCATGTGCAAAAGGATAGCATGTGGTTAGATGCAAGTTCTACATGTTTTTTTTTCATGTTAGTAAATAGCTGACAAATACATTGAGATATTCCTTTCATTCCGCACCTCTTCAATGATTTTCAAGATAGTCTCTACATTAGCTCATCTCGAGTTTGATTAAAAAATAATGTTAATATGTACTTTAAAGACATAAGTTAAAAATCGATAATTAATTTCTCTATTGCTTTTTTAACATAAAATTTTATTTGCAAGTGCAATGATTTTTCCTCCAACTCTTTAATGATTTTCGAGATAATTTCAAACATTAGCTCACCTCCAATTTCGACTTAAAATATTAGAATATGCTGGTATTTTAGTTTTTCTTTTATTGAATACTATATTACATTTTTATGTCGAATTAATAGCTCCTTAGGAAACCAGCCATGATTTTATATCATTGTATATATACATGTTTATATCATTGATGAAAGGTCGATGAAAGATAAGGGATAACTATTTCCATTACTTAATTTATACACTACTCTTCTAAACTTGTATTTTTCTTTAACTTCTATCAGCATATTAAATCACATTATTTTCCACTTTTCACTCTTCAATAAAGTACTATTTCTATCTTAAATTATTATTTGTCTCAAATTATAAGTTACTTTAAAATTTTAATATAATATTAATAATTTTTTTAATATATTCTTTATAATTTATTTTTCTTTCTTCTTTTTCTTTAAACTTTCTTTTAATATATTTTTTATAATTTATTTTTCTTTCTTTTTTTTCTTTAGTCCATTTTTTAATATAATTAATAAAGGACAATTTTATTATAAAATTATAGATATTTTAATTTTTCATAAAATAATAATTACGATGTGAAATTCCTAAAAACATTATATAATTTGAGACCGAGAGATATAGCTTAAGGCCGAGGAAAAAAGAACTTTTATCCGTTAATCATAGCCAAGACAAGTTAGACAAAATCACCCGACTCCAACGTCATTTAACTACTATTCAAAGAAAGAAAAAAACTCAACCACACAAATGTGCAATTGCACCAGCTGTAAAGCATTTTACTATATAGCAATTGCATTAGGCATATAAATATGTATAAAACGCCAAACCAATAATAGACAATACTTAACAGTAAATAATAGTACTAGCAGCTACTAGGGTACATCACAGGTTTGAAAAATAGGGACCAGCAGAGAAAAATGCCAAAAGAGAATATCATTATTTTTATAATTTAAAGTTCACAATTACAACCATACATCACACATGGGCTGGGTCACATTCCAACTTAAAAGTAATGAAAAAACTGCCCCATCACCCAACGCACTCACCACCTAATAATAATAATCATTACAACGACACGTTACACTTACAACACATCCTTTACATACAAAAAGGGAAATAATTAAAACAAGATAATGATCAAATTTCAAATTAAAAATAAAATCCCACAAAGTTGGTTTGGTTTAATGGTTTTGGCATCAACTACCACAAACCGTTGGATCAAATCAACTTGACTTGAAAGGAATGGCTCTGATCACGACTGTGTGGTAAAGTGCTGCAAGTCCTGCACCAATGAATGGTCCAACCCAGAAAATCCACTGCAAATAAAAAAATTAACAAGATTAAATATAAATTTCAAGATTACCTAACTAACTAATTAATTAGTTAACTAATTAATTAAATTATCACATACATGATCATCCCAGCCAAGATCTTTGTTGAAGATAATTGCAGCACCAAGACTTCTAGCAGGGTTGATACCAGTTCCAGTAATTGGAATAGTGGCCAAATGAACCAAAAACACAGCGAACCCAATAGGCAAAGGTGCCAAAATCTGTTAATTCATTTCATTAACACACCATTAGGAAACATTAAACTAAAATTAGTCAATTAACACATGTAATTAATTTAATGAGGTACAGGCACATACAGGAACGTGAGAGTCTCTGGCACTACGTTTGGCATCAGTGGCTGAGAAAACGGTGTAGACAAGAACAAAGGTACCGATAATCTCAGCACCAAGTCCATCTCCTTTTGTGTAACCAGGAGCAACAAAGTTAGCACCACCGTTAACTTTTCCATAGAAGACTTTTCCTTCAAAACCCTTAACCACACCAGCACCGCAGATAGCACCAAGAACCTGCATCACGATGTAGAACACTGCTCTTGTTAGAGACAGTTTCCTCGCCAAGAACAAACCGAATGTCACTGCTGGGTTTATGTGACCCCCTGCATCCACACCATCACAAATTAATACCATGAAAAAACATTTAAAAAAATGTAAGATCTAGTACTATAGGACAAAATTAGTAAAAACAAAATGAAGAGAGTATGTACCAGAGATTCCAGCGGTGCAGTACACAAGGGCAAAGATCATGCCACCAAAAGACCAAGCAATTCCTTGAATACCAACAGTTTTACACTTGGAGTCAGATTTGTTGACACCCATGACAGTCAAGATGGTGATGTAGAGAAACAGAAAAGTTGCAACGAACTCGGCTATTCCAGCTCTGTAGAAAGACCACGAAGTGAGTTCAGAAGGCTCAAACAACGGTGCGGGAGGTGGTTCCTTGTAGTCCTTTCCGTCGTCATGGCTCTGAGCTGCAATACCGATGGGTTGTCTCTCTGGGAATTTGTTGGCTCCGAGGGAAACATCTTGTTCCTTTGCCTCCATTTCTCAGTCTCTTGTTGTTGATGAAAGAATAATTGCTATGAATGAATTGGAAGTAGTTGTGGTTGTGGTGGTGGTGATAGGGTTATTAAGATGTGATTTATAAACAGAGTGAATTATAATGAAGGACAAAAAAGAAGTGGGTCATGGGTGGTGGGTGGTGGGTCCAATTTCATATGTAAAAATTTGAATATTATAGAATTTGGTTTTCTTATCTTTTATGCCGTCCAATCATATTCATGACAGCAACATAGAGTGGTATATCCAAGCTGGAGTGGTTTCTAACCATGCAATAATTGGGCCCCACCATGTTCACGAGAAAAATCAAAATAATTGAAAGTGGAAAATGCAGGGTGAAGTGGTGAAGTATTGAAAGAGGAGTAAATATTCAAAACCATCGAGTGAGTTCTGTCGACATGGACATCATATCATGGTCCCATTTCAGCAGTGAGACTGAGGAGTGGGAAACTCCATTACCCTCTGGGCGGTGATAATAGTCGTTAGAATAATACATTGTACCGAAAGTATCACGTTTTATTGCTTGAGAGTAGTATGTGTTCTGTACATGTAGAACCAAGCCGCAACGACTCTTATGCCATCAATGCTGTGTCAATGTCACTATTAAAATTTTGGAAAGTATAAATGCATCTTTAAAATATCAACTAAATTATCTATGATTAATTAATGTCTCCAATATTTATAACTACTATCAAATTTTATAACTAATCTATATCTATATAATGTATGTTATAATGAGTTATTAAAATTAAATGTAATAGATCCTTAAAAAAAATTAAATAAAAGAATGTTGCCTTAAATTGTACATTGATTTTAATAAAAATATAAAATTAATTTTAATTGTATTTTTCAATACAAATATTCAATAAGTGAGTTTCTGTGATACTCCTAAATCAATCATCAGATTTCATTTTATTAAAACAATTATAAACTAATTATTAATGAATTATATTCATAATTTATAACTAGTTTTAATATTAAAAAAATTCAAAAAGATTTTTTTTCAAACGTCAAATAAAATCTTTTTTTTATGAAAAAAATATTTTTTCAGATTTTTTGGAAAAAAAAATTATATAGTTCTTTTATCTTCAATTTTTTAATTATTTTTCAAAAACAAATTCTAAAAAAGTTTTTGTACTTTATTTTTAATTTTTAAAAATAGATTAATTTAGTTTTTATATTAGATATGGACGTCTATAATATGAGTTTGTATAAAATCATATCAATAACATGTTCAAATAATAATTGATCGGTTTTTAATAATGAAATTTATATATGAATATGAATAATCTAAATAGTTGATTAATTTGAACACCGTAATTTTAATAATTAACATGTATGAGTTTTTAACACTCTGTTGGTTGGAAGTTTCGGCTAAGGAAAGATAACATAGAGATTGGTTTGTGGGTCGACAGGCTGGGAAAGATGGTAAGGGAAACGATGTGAGTCGACGCCAGCAGAGAGAGTTTTGTGAGTCGACTCAGGCCTATTCCGTCGAAGATGTCGACTGAGGGGTAAGGAAGTCAACACAAAGTAGAAGAACGTTTGAGCGGGAAGAAAATTTGAAAAACTGAGAACGTGGGAAGTTACAGAAGTGGTGGAAGGACACGTGGCGCCACCAAGATCAACATAGCAGTTATTTTATTTTCCTATTTAAGGCAATACTCATGTTCATTTTAGGGGACACATTTTGTAACATTGTAAGGGAAAAACACTTTGAGTACCAAGCGTTAAGAGAAAAGAGTCTCATTCCTGCAAAATGTATGATCGCGTCCACATTTCCTTTAAATAGTAATTTATATCACCAACTTCAAAGATTCCTTGTCTTTTGTTTTTGTTTTATCTTGTTTATGCATTTGTCTTTATTTAAGTCTGCACAATCTTTCTCAAATTTGTCTTCAACCTATTCTAAACAACACAATTCCACCACCATCTCATACACTCGACCGATACGTTCTGGGACTTGTTTGGCCGGTCCCGCATGTAAACCTGCGTTAGGAGGTCAGAGGTTGTTCGCGCGAAAATTGCGTGCAAACAAATTGGCACACCCGATGGGATCCGTCGGTTTGGGTGTATGCATCTACGCAGTGGTAAGATGGTGATACCGCGTCCAAACGAAGAACCATTTTTGGAGGAAAATACGGTTGTGACTCAAACAACCGACGTTGGTGCTGACGTTTTGTCTGCGGTTTTGACTGCTCATAATGGGCCTGTCGTGACGCCACGTCGACATGAACCCAGACCTATGATGACATGAACTAGGGGGCAATATATGCCTAGTTTCACAATGTCCACATCCCAAGCCTTTGGGATGCTGACAGAGTTCATGTTGAGTCTGCATCACAACGGCCCACTCTTTGGAGAAAGCTCTTCGTCAGCTTTTTCATTGTATCAGAGGTTAGGGCCTTTGGTGAACCAAGTTACTAGGCCCCTAGGGTTTAGTCTTTGTCACATTTGATTCCAACTTTCACCTCAAATTCTGTAGTCGTTATGAGACAGCAGATGGATGAAAGTAATCACGAAATGATCCACATATTGACTCAGCAAATGGGCACCATATTAAGACCGCTAATACAAGATTCGACTCAGAGTTACCAATAATTGGTGGCTCAGAGACACGGATAGGTGATTTTTTAGGCGCTCCTAGGGCCCCGGGTCGACAGACGCCGCCGCCTCGACCGGAGACACCAATTAGATAAGACGGGGTCTTCGACGAAACAATTGACCAACAACCACATGAGGTTGAACACACACCAGGGTGTCCCAAAGGCCTCTCGTTGTTTTAGTTCATAGGAACCAGGACCCAGAATATATGGTCAGACAGGCTCGACACAAAGCCATGGCTGGCAAACCCAACTTAGAAGCTATGGTGGAACAGTTTATAGTTCACAACGGGGCGAACCCAGGCCTTCGACGACCAACATATACGTCCCCACTACCAGACTTCGTTCTGAAAGCAGAATTGCCCAGAGGGGGGAAGGTGCCAAAGTTTACCAAATTCGCTGGAGAGACCAAAGAGTCCACCGTCGAACATGTTGTTAGATATCAAACCGAAGTTTGCGACATAGCAAACCACGAGGACTTTAAAATGAAGTACTTCCCAAGTTCTCTCACCAAAAATGAGTTTACTTGGTTCACCACCTTCCCCATAGTTTGTCCATACCTGGGCACAATTGGAAAGATTGTTTCATGAACAATTTTACATGGGAGAATCGAAAATTAGTCTAAAAAAGTTAGTCAGCGTCAAACTAAAGGCCACAGAGTCGGTGGACCAATATCTTAATAGGTTTAGACTGTTAAAAGTATGACGCTTCACGCAAATCCCTGAACATGAGCTAGTCGAGATGGCGGATGACGGCCTAGATTATTTGATCAGGAAAAAGTTAGACACACAATATCTCAGAGATATGGCACAGCTAGCTGATAGGGTCCGACAGGTTGAACGTTTAAAAAATGGAAAAACTCAAACTAACAGATATCGTAAGAAACAGAAAGTTTCATACGTGGCCGCTAACGAATACTCTTCTAATGATGAGGAGCTCATCGATGAAAATGAGGTTAACGTGGCTGAACTGAAGCCAGGGCCTCCGTACACATGCAAATCATTAAAACCATCAAATGAAAAAAAAATCCTGTCAAAATCGAAAAAATAGATAAATATGTCACGAAAATGTATACTTTTCATGTATCTAAGTGCGATGAAATATTTGATTTATTAGTTAAAGATGGTCATATTATTCTCCCTCATAGGGAAAAAGACCCCCCTTTAGAACAAAAGAAGAAAAGGGGATTTTGTAAATTTCATAATTTCCTTAGCCATAAGACATCTCAATGCGTTCTTTTCAGGGACTTGGTGCAGAAAGCTTTGAAAGAAGGCCGACTTCAATTTGGCGAAAGGCCAAAGATGCAGGTGGACACAGATCCTTTAAAGGTCGAAGGAGCCTTATATTTTGAGCTATATGACTACATGATGGTTGAGGCTACTGAGGGTCTCAACAAGCACTTGACAACCGAAGCGTTTGAATGCATGATAATCGAGACTATTGATGGTCCCGACAAGAAGTCTAAGGAGAAACTCGAGATAGTCTATCCTCAAGTTGGCGAAAGCCTGACTGATTTCCAAGAGAAATGCAGGGTGATCGGGTCGAAGGTTGTATTATGCCTAAAATGCAACGCCGTGTTTGACGAAAAAGCTGCTGAGAAGTACGAAGCGGGTAGGAAAATGGTGTAACACCCTTCTAAACCCCACGGGAAATATACGAATAATCAGAGTAAATAATCATGCATTCACAAAAGGGCATCACACATAATTTTCAAACATCAAAAACCACATGTCATGCTCATTAATACTTCAATAAATAATCATACTTTTCAAAGTTTCATGTTGCATGTAGCAGCGGATTCAATTTATATCATAATTCTCTTAACAGAATAACCATGCTCATTATATAATTCAACATTTCTTAGGCACTAAGGCCAATATCACAATATTCCAATGAATATAAAAACATATCATAGAGTACATAATGTATTTTAAAATATAAACCAAACGATCACAGTGTTACATGATCAGAGGACGACTCTATCCAACATAATTAAATTACTAAACAGCTACACCAATAACGACTTCGCAACTACAAGCAGCTCTACTCTTGATACCTGCACGAAGCCAGATAGGACATCATTCAAGCAGAAGGGTGAGAAATATTATCATAATAATCAATGCATATATATATATATATATATATATATATATATATATATATATATATATATATATATATATATATATATATATATATATATATATATATATATATATATATATATATATATATATATATATATATATATATATATATATATATATATATATATATATATATATATATATATATATATATATATATATATATATATATATATATATATATATATATATATATATATATATATATATATATATACAAGCAGAGAATACACAC